TAACCCCTCAATTATACAGTCCATCCAGTGGAACACAAGAAAAGAACACAACAGCTCATCATGAAAACAGTTTTACTTAAATGTATAAATTAATTACTTTATTTACAAGAGGCTTTTTTTGTTACAAAAATGCCATTTTGTTGATATTGCCAACAATGGACTAAGGATTTGATGTGGATACAATAATGGAGTTCAACATCTGCCTCAGCCTATATTCATACCACACTCTGACTACTTTCAATAATAACCCTCACCCCGTATTAAAACTATAATGTTTAATCTCAGCCCAACTAAGATTATACTAGTATATATAGCAAACATTGGCACCTCATAACACAACTATATTAAAACAATCTAAAATGGAATGAAATCAAATCTGAGTCTGTAAATGAAGAAATTCTGTAAGAAAAGATTAAACAGATGTCTGTCTGCTCTCACACTACTAAAATCACACTACAAAAGATGTTTTTCTAAACAGAAAACAATTTCATTTGCTCTAAAAGTTCACAATTTGAAAATAAATACTGTGATGTTGTCCACATTGCATGGAGCATATATGCTGTGTCTGATCTGGACACTGTTATGGAAGGAGTAACCCTTATCAGGTCAAGTGAATGTAAAATTTACATGGAGACTGGCAGGATAAGGGTTAAAACCTTGTGTTCATTATCAGCAGCATAACAAGTGAAAAAACAGGAAAATCTAAAAGAATGCAGGTTTATCTCCAAAGGAATGCGAATAAAGCAATATTTATAATAAAAAAAGACTGAGCTAAAGGTGAACCAGCTATGCCAGCATTAAGCTAGGTGAGGCAGCGTGTTCAGTTTACACTCTCCCACACCATCATATGCATTGCAATTAATTCTCAGTACAACAAATTTAAACAAAAAATGTACACAGGAAAAACGAAAGGCATGAAGCATATTTTTCTCATCTGACTAAAAAGTGAAAGATGATTTTAGACATTCTTGTACTTTTCATTTTACCTTTTAATTAACAAGATGAACAGATAATTGTAAGAAATAAAATGACTAAAGGAATTAATCCTGCACGAGAAAACCATATGTAAATGTTATTTTAGTTTAGATGGACAGGAAAATACCACCTCACCGGGCAGACATAGATGACATTTGGAGACAACTTGCACAGGGAAGGTAGAAGTCATATGTTATTTTCATCTACAATATTGATAACCAAGAAAAGTGATATATTTGTTTCATTAGATACACACATTTCAGGGCATGTGTTTCTCTATAATAGACAAAATTCAGTATTCTACTTGCAGGTCCTGACTGCCACCATACCATACTTTCTGTATGCCATTTTTTTTGCATGTGCAAGTCACAACAAATGTTTTGGCGGGTATTTCAAGCACACCCAACTTGCATTAACCCGTTCATGAACTTCTAATGTAGAAAGTTTGGTAAGCATCAAACAGTAAAATCTGCACTGGTTTAGTGTTGGTTTTATAGAAACTGTGGTGGCGGTTTGTGACAAATGTTATTTTTCTAATTCAACACGGTGGTCAACATTAATATGAAAATAATTATCAAAAGTATAAAGGAAATGGTGTTGTAAAAAAAAAGTGTAAGGTCTCCAGCACAATGATGTAGGTGTTGCACTGATCAATTTTAGAGACAAAATAATTGCTTCATCGGTCATACAAACATAATTTGAAATGTTATATTATTCAGGAATCTATTTAAGGAAAAATAATCACATTTGTATTAAATTTGGTACGTATACAAAAACTGAGTCACCAAGCAACTTCACCAATGTGAATAAATTCAAAACAACCGCTGTTTGAAATCTACGAGGATAATATAAAATTATAAAACTTATAAGAATAATTGTAATACTTATGGAATGAAGCTATATACTTACCAGTTGAGGTAATTATGATTATCAAAACAGTTGGGAGATGTGGTTAAGGTGATATCTGTACTTGCCCATCTCCCATTAATTTGTAATGACCTAAGAATCAACAATATAAATCATCTCAACTTGGTAGTAAACAACTCCATAACTTAATTATGCTATTCCCATGATAGAGAGAGAGTTATTGTTTTGATCATTTTCTTATCTGCTTGGCACCACAGAAATGTTAGATGATTATACTTCCCTAATAGTTAAGCGAAGGTAACCGATATATACACACTCTATTAAGCCCCTTTACTGCATGTTTTGGAATACAACACCAGTGTTTGTTACACTGTATTACAGTAAATAACAAATGCATGAATGAAAACCATGTCTTAGTGTTACTCTACAAAACATGCAAGGACATTAAAAGATGAATTACAACAAAAGACAAATCAACCTCAGTCTGTTTAGTGGTTAACTATACAAATCAATGTCAACTAATTGTGTCTCGATATATTAGGTAGACCAGCTAGTGTTCACAATTGTTTCATCAATGGGGATTTGTGTCAGAGGACTCCCAGAACTTGTGCTATAAGTACAGAATAATATCCACTTTCATCAATCAGAAGTAGCACATAAATTTAAATTTTTCAGCACATTCCATCAGTGCAAGCCTTTGCCATTCATTATTTCTGTTACAGAGTGTACTTTTCTTTTGTTGAGTTATATGATACCTAATTTTCAGGCTTTATTTTTTTATAAATGAATTGAGCAGAATTGATACAATATGATTATTATTGCATGCATGGGAACAAGAAAAAGGATCAATTAAATATTCACAGTTCAAGAATTAGTTGTTTTCCCAAGATCACAGTTTCATTTCTTTTTAATACCTTATATTCTTCTCTAAAATAAATAAAAAATAAACATAAGTTAACTCCATTATTTATCCTATGTAGCAAACAGTTCTTTCATCTTTTATCGGCAAAAAAAAATACATACCAGTATGTACAAGTATTGATTGTTCACAAAATAGTTATTAATATTAATATTATTGAAGTTATGAAATCTCTACAAGAAATTCTGAATAATTAGCATCCAAAAAAAACCTACTAGACGGAAATGTGCGTCCTTCAGTGCATCAACATAGAGGACATGTACATCCCTCAACATTAAAGTTGTCAACCAATTCCTCTCAGCAATTATATTTAAAATGTTCATGGAGTTAAGTACTCTTCAAAGCTTTAAAAAACCCAAGTTAGGGAGTACTTGCATTTCCATCTTCATCACCAAGTATACATAGCCCTTCAGTCACAGTTAAGAAACCATTGCAATCCTGTGACGCTAGAAATGCATCCAGTGGTGAAAAACTAATTTACATAGACCAAACAAGAAGGAAATCTTGCTCAAAATTTACTTACATTTTTTTGGTTTAAATTTTGCACAGTTTTTTTATATATATATTTTGAATTTGATATGAGGCAATGTGTACAAATTCTTATTGTTATTCTCTTAAGTCCGGGCATGACAAAAATAAATACTAAAAACCTATGAATGAATATCTCTTGTCTGTATAAAAAGGTTCTACAGGAAGCCATAATGTGAGTGTTTTCTCTCAAACTAAGCGCTATAAATACAAAACATGTGCAATATTGAAATACTTCAGTAATATATATATATATGATACAACTATGGCATGTTGAGTTCACAACAAAAATGTTTATAACTTTTTAAAATATCAAAAACAATATGACAAGCAAGATAAGTATAGTCAAATTTGTCAATATTATTACCACAGTAGGCCACAGTTGCATCAACTATTAATGCTCATGTGACCACAGATAGACCAATCATACACAAGATATGTGACCATTAAATTCTGATTGGCTCAAATTAGTCATGTGATTTTTTTAATGAGCAGCTCTTTCTCTCACTACTAAAAATCAGTGCTACGTTGAAATGAAACATAACAATGTATGTAACATATATATTAGTAAATATCCCTGTAAAATAAGATTTCCTTCCAACTTTATTTCCTCAAGGAGATGACTGAATTATTTCCTTGTAACTGTCTTTACTATATCATTTTGTGGCACAATTAGCAACCCCTTTGTGGAAACAAATCTTTCATTTAAAACTCTTCAGTACCTCTTTGTTATAATGGTAAAGCTATAAGTAGGTAGAATCAGTTGATGACATTTGTAGCCAGCTTGAGCCTAGCTTCAAACATATCTTATCAAGATAGATAGAGGGCGACAAACTCACAAGTTGTACTGTGCATGGGTTCACAGACAGTCTATGTTCATCACTAACTCAATTGCATCTTACTTCTGAGTAGGGGCCTATTGATTGAAGATGTGCTTCAAAGCTCACAATGTTTGTATTCCCTGAGTTTGAAAGCAAAATACACACAGTGCTTTGGGCATAGTTATTCAATACATAGATATACATAATTTGCCTTTAAGGACAATAAATACAATAGGCATCGTAGGTATAGAAGTATTAAAATAGAATTTCTGTATGCTGCTTTCTCAGACCATTATTCACAAAAAAACGCAGCATATTTAATAGAATAAAATAGAATAAATTGGCCTATGTTAAAAACACATGCGTACAGCCACTACATTGTTTCATCACTCTGTCTCAGTAAGAGTTGATGAGACTCTATTGTCTTTGGCTGGCTAGAGGGCTGTGGTATTGTAATTGGTTGGCTCTGCTGTATTGGTAATCGGATTGCCACAGGCTGAATAGTCAATGATGGTGGTGCTTTGCCAGACTCCTGTTTCAGTAGATTCGGCTGTAACTGTTGCATGTTGGGAAATATTTGACTAGCTGCAACTATATTAGCAAGCTGATGATGCTGTGTCTGTAGTTGTGGCATTGGAGACTGCTGGGATGTCAACGACTGATGCTGTTTATAAATCTGTTTCTGGAAGTTTGTGTTGGCTCTTGCAGCAGATGATGATTTACCTGAAAGATATATATATTAAAAATATTAAAACTAACCAATTTGAAAGTCAAACTAGCAGATAGTTGTTTGTGTGATCATATGTTTGCTGTCAAAAAGTTGGTGTACTGACCAACTTACCAGTTTGAGTGAACATTGATGAATTAAAATGTCCACTGTTATTAGGTGAAGCCTCAGTAGAACTTGTAATAGTGATAGGAGATGGAGTACTGTTTCTGCTGGGGCTGATAGTTACTGTTGGAAAATGATTTACTTTCAGATTGATTGCTGATGGTGATGGTATGATACCATTCGGTAGAGGTGACTGGACAGAGATCTGAGGACTTATTGAACCCTACATGAAAAAACACATAAAATCAATGTCTCTGATATATACATGTACAGTGCTTTATCAATATACAACACATACATGGAATGGTATGCTAAATAGTTCAGGAGAAAAGAAGTAATTAAATACGCAAATGAGATCAATTGAAATTGATTCCCACATACAAGGAAATTTTCTTAGAGCAGAACAATAATAGCAAAAAATAATCGTGCTTATAGAAGACCATATTTTGTTTTGAAATTCATCATAAAGTGCTTCAAGAAATCATTATTATGTACTGCATGCAAATAATCAAACCAACCGCAAACAACTCTGAACTCTTTATGAAGTTAATTTCATTAAGAATTCACAAGAGGTTCTTGAAAAATATCTGAAAAATCAAAATAACTATTTATTGTTATTTAAATTAGGTAATTAGTATGTACATATTTTTACTGTGGATTATCCTTGCGCAACAATGTATCAAATTCATTGAAATTTCATTTTTTAACTACCCAGATAACAGCAGAATAATACATGTATACCACATCACCTGTTGACACTGATAATAAATCTATAACATAGTGAGACTATTACACCCTTGCCCATTGAGGATCAATATTGAATAACAAATTGATGGATTGATGGATACAAACTAATGATGCATGATATTTTCTTTACATGCCAAAGTGAAACAAAATCCTAGCCAACTGTTCCTCAATTAATACCACATGTACTGCATTAATCTCATGTCCCTTGTAAAATGAGCAGCCTGACTGTAGATATAGCTCCACTGTTTCAGACACATAATAAGAAAGAAATATCAAATCAATCTGTCTAGCCATTTTGAAGATAACATAAATACCGGTAATGAAAAAACTGTAGTTATTGACACTAACTTGACATTCTGATAGATGAAAGAACCAAATCAATCCATGTGATCCATGTACATGTAAGGTACCAACATATAGAATTCACTTGGTGGTTTTCAAAAAGACGCCAGAAATTACCAAAAAATATCCACTGAAATATGAGAACTAAAATCATCATCATGAAAACCAACACATCTGAGAGGTCCACAAACAGATTATTTTCAATAAAAAGTAATTTTTTATCAAAATTGAGATAAATATTTACTAAAATTAGGATTTATTCACAAATCTGAGTGAGGTTCATCCAATGACTCTACATATAAAATATCAAAGCAATTGAAATAGCCAGTTTTAAGAAGTTATTGATATAATATCTAAGTTTGAAATTATTAACCACAAGAAAACGTTTTATAACAAGAACAGACATTCCTCTCATATACCTTGACCTTCACATCTATGATTATACGGACAAGATAAAAATGGTGTCAGGAGTGAACAAAAATTAATTCTTTTACTGGAAAAGGAGTGGAACTATGGAGTGGCTGAGTGGCTCTCTTGGTTTTACAGTAGTGAAAACACTGAATACAATTTACAGTATGTTATATACAAGTAACTAGTTACTGTAATATACTTACAGGTCGAAAGTTAGGGCTTGGTGTCATTGACATTGAACCAGGACTAGGTTGTGCAGAAGGGGGTCCACTGCTTGTAGTGTCAAATGAACTATCTGTCCTGTTCAGATTTGAACTAGCCATAGAGCCCTGACGAGCAGCATGTATCCGTGTTGTATTACTCTGCTTCCCACTTTTGTTCCGAGACCTTGCATTTGTTTTGTTTGCATTGGCAGCTTTAGCCACAGGTACACTACTTTGTTTCATGTCACCCATGGTGCATATAACATTTCCTTGCATACTTGAGCCAATACTGGCATGGAAGTTAGCACTACTTAAGTTTGCTAGTTGTGCAGTAGTAGTTATGGGAACAGTAGTATGAAACTGTAGACGAGCCTGTGCATTATTCACTGCAGCCAGTTGTCCAATGTTTGAAGTCACAATTTGTCCTGTGTTGGTGGCAAGCACATGTGGACTTCCAGTATTCACTCCGTTAATAACTTGACCTGGAGTTAATCCATTGTTAACATTTGCATCTATATTTGTAACAACAATACTTAAGTCTTTTATAAGATTTCCTGTACTGCTTGATAAGATAGCATTTTGTCCCATTTCTGGGTAGGTAGCAGTATTTATGTTGAATCCACTGCCACTTCCACTTTGAAGAGGTATTGTCAATGGCGCTAGACTGTTACTCGTAGTAGTCAAGCCTGGCATCACACTTGCCTGGCTGATTGTGCTGTTACTGCCACTCTTCCGCCGTGATTTACTCTTCGACATGGAAGCACTTAATCCGTCTTTAGATTTCCCTTGTTTACTATTAGACTTTGATTTCTTGGAACTGTTTTGTGTTTTGTTCAATGGTCCATTTGCCATTATTGGTGTAAAGTTACCACTCATAGCACTTATGGCAGTTGAATAGGTTGGTAAACCTTTATCCACTGGAACTGCTTGTGTCACAGGGCTACCTAGTGTTGAAGTTTTAAGACTGGAAATACACATTTTTCTGCAAGTTAACAAAACCAAGACATAGTAAAGAAGTTGATTTTGACAATCCCAATTATAAACATTTCAAGTTTTATAAAATAGTTTGGTAATCATAATGAACTGATGTACTATGTATGGGAATAAGTGTGAACAGAATTGAACCCATGCTGGTTTTACCATGCAACCTCATTTTAACATAATGGCTGTTCGTCAGCCTTTTTGAATTAGATTCATAAAATCAAAATGACAAGAAGGAAAACCCTATAGATGTAAAAATCTTGAATAGAATCCATTCAAACAAAAGAAGATAGAAACATTGATGGTACTGCTATCATCTCAGATACTTGTGTGAAACTATACCACTGTAACACTGATGGATCTCACCATGTACTAGCATTTTTATACCCCATAAGTAACAACCAAGGTTCTATGTAACTTCTTGTATTATTTATAACTCAGTGGTTATGGTGGTAGCTCCCGTTAAAATGCGCCCCAGTGGTTACTTACTTGAATGGTGGGGGATGTAAATGTCTTTCCACCAATGACATTAACGAAGATCTGACATAATCAGATTTCCTATTAAACACGTAACATCCTCTACCCATCAACCGTGCACCAAATGTACATACCTGAGAAGTAAACACAATATTTATTGTATTAACACATTGTCTGCTTAAGTTTCCATGAATGTAATGGGAAATGATGTCCAATTGGTCCAAAACTGATGCACCAAATAGTTAACATTTAGAACACAAAACAGTAATGAAATTTATCGCTGCTATTTTTATGTTTCTCATCGTGAATTATAATTTAGTCAGGGGTATTGTTTTAAAGTTGAATGATTTAAAGGATTAACACTGAAATTTGAGTGCCAAAAACAGGTACATCTAGATACCTATCTGGTTATATACATAGCATTGTTCAATGGTTATATGTACTCGGGTGGCCATTTGGTTTCACTCTGGAAAATGTTGCATACGTCTCACTCAATGGGTATTGAATGAAACATGTTTTTAGGGTAATCTTGCTGCTGGTTACTTTCAACTAGTACAACCCAGAGGCCAGTAAATAAAGAATATTCAGCTTCCTGTGATGATGAAATATACTACATAAATGCAGTACCTCATGTGTGAGTTATCACCAGAGAGGATTTGAACTGGCATAAGCATTTTGCTAAAATCAGCTTTCATGATCAGTTGCCTCCAGACACAGATTTTTATTTGAGTGATTATGTTCCTCATATAATATTTTTATTCTTATTTAGTTCTATGTTCAATTAATGCTAATCATCAGCAGATTTGACCATTTTTGTGTGTGTGTTTTTGTGTATGGGTCATTGTTATATTCACCAAAAAGTGGACAATAAAACTACATTTGTTATATTTTTTACCATAACCTTAGAGAAGTGTCAAAGATTTCACTGAGCAGAAGCAAAGAAAATTTAGTTCCATGGTATGCACACTTCAGTGATTTACCGACAGTTCTACAGCTGGCTCTATCTGATACTTGGGATTAAACTTGTAATATCATCAGTTGAAGTAGTTGTAGGTAAATCATAAGTGTGTGTTGCATGTTCATAAATCATGCAGACACACAACAAACCAGTATGATAATACTGCCCTCTGGTGGCAATAATGTAAACTTACCGCAGCAGGTTTGGGATGATGATTTGTATATGGACAGTTTAGATTATCTGTTTCATCAGCACCATCTATTTCAGCATCACTGCCGAGTTTGTTATCAGTACTACTTGTGGCAGTATTCAATGAATGACTTAGCACACCTGTAGGCGTTGACGGTAAAGGTCTTCTGAAATAAATTTAAGACATTAGTATTGGGATTATCATCCGTTAATAATTACATATGCACAGAGCCTACAAATTGGGAAACACTGGGATGTCATGTACAGGTCCGTAAGAATGACTCAGATATCAATAATACGTGTATCAAAAGCGAAATGTTGAAATGGTATAAAATACTATCAGCATGGAAACCAATGTAAAAACACTGGCACCGGATGTTAAGACTTGTCTTCAGTTTGGGTTTTAGCAGTTAAACACAAAAAGTCATTGAAAATGACACAGTCCCTGTTAAATTTTTAAAAGTTCTCTTTGTGCTCGTCATATTAAAGCGGAGGGGTTGTCGCGAGCGTGTTTTTGAAACTTGAGTTCCAAGTGGCGCATACAGATTGTTTATTTACATCAAAACACGTGTTCCATGTAGTAGTAATATGGTCAAAAATAAAAACAGCCATTATTCGGCCATCTTTGATCTGATTATGAAACACACTGATATATATGATGTATGTGCCAAATACGAATGAAAATGGTACATAAATTGTGGAAATATAGTAGTAAGGCCAAAAAGTCAGATGGCTGTCAATCGGCCATCCTTGACCAGATTTTGAAACAAATTGTCATGGACATGCATCCTAACATGTATAAAATACATGTATGTGCCAAATTTGAATGAAAACTGACAGAGCACGTCCAAGATACCGCATAAAAAAACAAAACAAGATGCCTGCCAGTCGACCATCTTTGACTAATTGCGAAATAAATCGTCATGAACATGTATTCTAACATGTATAATCTATGTACCAAGTTTAAATGACAACTGACAGAGCATGTCCAAAATACATTTTCAAAAAACAAGATGGCTGCCAGTCGGCCATTTTGAATTGAATCGCTAAACCACTGCATGTGCATATGTCCCACATAAGGTACTAGGCACATGCAAAGAATGAACGGAATCGGTCCACAGGATTCTGAAATATGACTCTGGACAGACTGACGCACGGTCGAACGAACACACGGACGGACAGACAGACTCAGGAACTCACGGACGGTCGGGGACATGTATCCTAACATGCATGATCTATGTACTAAATTTGAATGAAAACTGACAAAGCATGTCCAAAATACAACATTTTCAAAAAACAAGATGGCTGCCAGTCGGCCATCTTTGATCCAATTGTGATCCCCGTTTTCGGACTTCATTTTGACCATCAAGATACAAAACTGAAATATGACTGACATATAGGTTTATAATTCATGTGTTTTATTTCTGACTCTATTTACTTACTTGTGTGTTAAAGAATTTGATGACTTTGATGGGGATGGAATTTTGTTTGCACTCTCATCTGTACTCGTCTTGTTATTAGCACTCTGTTGTGATTTTTTTTGCTGTAATAATTTGGCTTCATTCACTAGCTGCATTTCTTTTTCCCTCCTCGCTCGATGTTCAAGCAGTAAGTCATCAAACGGTTTCCTTCTACCAGCTACACCCCGCCTCAGTGAAAGTGCGTGTGTCTGTGCAAGAAGAAGATTGAAATGAAATGACAATGCAATAAAATCATTGTTTCAAAAATCATTCAGTTGAAGGCAGGACATGACAGACGGACTGATAGTGTAGAAACATACTAGGTAGTAATATTGGTAGAATGTGTAGTATGGCCATACCTTGCAAGTAAGTGATCTTGTACAGTGTTTTTGGATGTCTGATAACCAAACTCCACAATGTTTATTGGCATCAAATTCTCTATCTGTGAATATCAAGAACAAAACTTAGAATTCACTTGAATTAAAACAGCAGTTGTTGTGCCATGTCATGTACGATACAAGCTGCAACATACATATAAAATACACTGAATTTCAATACACTGAATTTGATCATATTATGCACATTAAAGTCTATGACACACTGTTGGATAGAAAACAAATAGATAACGTGCATTTTCCATAAGAATTATAGCTGACCACACTTAAATGTACATGCAAGATAACCTTGAATAAATTAGATGCAATAATTAGACAAAACTATTAGTAAAATGATGTAAAACAAGCCATGCATGGCACAGTCCCTGTTAGTTATCAAATTTAAGATATCTAGCTTTGTTTATAGTAATATAGCTGGAATATAACCATGTCAGGAATATGATTTTTTAACATTAAAATGATTGACATTTGTATCTGATCGTCAAACAAGTACTTGTCCATATTGAGAGATATTGCTCTGGAACAGCATTCAAAATCAGCCATTTTGAATGCATGTATATATATATAACATGATGTATAACGAATATATAAAATTTAATTATAATAAGTCAAAGCATTTAAGAGATATGACTCTAGAAGCCCAATCATTAAAACAAAATGGCCGCCAGTCAGCCATTTTGAATCCAATCTGAAAAATAAAAAGTTTGAATGAAATCCACACATAATTGCTTGATATTTGATAATTTTTTAGCACAAAAATGACCACCATTCGGCCATTTTGAATAGGATAGTCAAACCAATATATCTGTTTATCTAAGACATGATGTATAATGAATATTTAAAATTTGAAAATATTATCAGTCAAAACAAGTCGGAGATATGGGTCTAGAAGCCCATTCATTAAAACAAAATGGCAGCCAGACAGCCATTTTGAATCCGATCTGAAAAATAAATAATGTGCATCAGGAAACTGTAATGTCTAATATATGTACCAAGTTTGAACGAAATCCATCCATAAATGCCAGAAATGCTTGATATTTGATGATTGTTTAGCACAAAAAAGGCCACCATTTGGCCATTTTGAATAGAATCATCAAACCAATACATCTGTCTATCTATGACATGATGTATAATGAATATTTAAAATTTGAACATAATCAGTGAAAGCAAGTCAGAGATATGGCACAAGAACCAGTCGGTCATTTTGAATCTTATCTGAAAAACAAAATTATTTGCATCAAGGTCCCATAATGTCTAATGTATATACCAAGTTTGAACATAATCCATCTGTAAACAGCTGAGAAATGGTTGATTTTTAAGATTTTTTAGCACAAAAATGGCCGCCATTCGGCCATCTTGAATCAGATTGTGAAACAAATTGACGTGCATATGTATAATATCATGTATGATGTATGTGTGAAGCTTGATTGTGATTGGTCCAGGCATCTCGAAGATACAGGTCCGGACGCACGCACGAACACACTGAGGTCAAAACATAAGTCCCCGTTTTCGGACTGCGTCCGAACGGGGACTAATAACAATCACCTTTGCAGGGCAGTAATTTTCTGGGAGAATTTTTCTTGGTAGTTGAACTGCTTTTAGGCGTAGTACTTTTACTTGTGGGTGTAGCACTTTTACCACTTTGACTGTTTTTAGAGGTTGATGATCCACTCTTAGTTGACGGAGGAGTGCTTTTACTTGTTGATTTATTGGTTGGTGTACTATTTTTACTACTACTTGTACCATTTATTGCATCACTATTATTATTATTTGTTGCAATATTATTCTTCTTGTCTGTCATGGTCTGTGATTTCTTGAGATTAGCTAATTCTTCTAGTGCCCGTGAACTCCTCTCCATTTTGACAACAGGACTAGTATAGTTCTTTTTCGTCTGTGATGGCATAGTCTACAGAGAAAGGTTAGAAATTCACCAGTTTAAAATAAGCCTTATGCACGACCTCCAAAAGGTCACACATCTGATACTTTTTGGGGTACAAATTCTCTATGAGAATTTCTCAATTATTTCTTCCAAAATGCTAGCAGTTGTTAGTAATAATAGTTAATTTGCCAAAAATGGAGGTTATTGGGCAACAATACACCCAAAAAGTATACAGGAAGTGCGCCTTTTTTTCATGCATTCGACACTTAACCTCTGTAAGCCCCCCCCCCCCCAATCACATTGCAGTATAAGCATGGTAAATAAGGCAAAATACTTTATATATGTTATTTAGTACATATATTATACAGATTTCAAATCGGTTTGGAATTGGCAGTGGTTACATGACTTTTAACTACCGGGGCTCGACATATTTGTCATTGTACGAGACAAAATATTATATTTGGCCACGACAGAAGTGGAGATGATTCATTCTGTTTCAGCAAATGAAATATTGTTGAAGAAACTACTTTATTTTAAGTTGTTTTGGTTTGATGTAAATGTCATCTCTGTTAACCTTTTTTGTGATGACAAAACAGAAAAGGTTTAAAGGTTATTCGTAATCACTACGTTTTTGGAATGAAATGCCATTCTTCATACGAAAATGTACAACCTTTTTTAATCAAAGAGAGTTGACATACCTTTGGTGTGCTGGGTGGAGTACTGGTTAACTTTGCATTCTGTGGTGAAGGCGTTCTGACACAGGCACCAATTGTAGGTTTGGCAGTGATTATCATTTTATTCACATCCTTATGTTTCACATTGTCAGACTGTACGATAGTTGATGAGTGTGGTTTCTGTGGAGTGCCTGCATTGCTCTCACAACTACTACTATTGGAACAGACTGGTGAATTATTTGAAAAAGACAAGACTGGAGAAGGTGTTGGTGTTGGTAGACTTGGTGCATTGGCATGCCTCAATGCTGTGGAAAATAAAAAGAGAGAAATAAAACAATGTTAATTACCTAGAACATAGCTTACATTGACATCTATATTTGGTTATTTTAAACTTGCACGTTAAGACTTTAATGTTAGATTTATTGGTATTTTGGGACATGTGATATTTGATGTTAGAAATCAAAGCAAAACAATAACAGGTAGCACATGATTTGCTTTAATTGACTTATTAAAATTGTTTCAATTTACCAATGACAACGACATTGGATGCACACAGACACAGACACACACACAGATGAAAACACATGACTCATGTTTCTTAACTTCATCCCACAGTAAATAAAAGAAGTATGAAACTGTGCCCAAAGGCTTATAACTAATTTGAGACATGGTACAATGCCTGAATCCTTCATATAAACAAGTCATTGTAAAAGATGTGCACCTGTAACCTAATATATATGATCATTATACCAACTTAGTATAAGGTCCTTTCAAATATGAATGAAATATGTACATATACAAGCAAGTACTAGTTCAGTAACTGCAGAAATGCTTCAACTATAGACACAACAACTCTAAATCACAAAAGAAATCAAAAAAGCAAAAGTTTATAATTAACATGACAATCACTCCACAATTCCAGTACAAAATTAAGCCAAGCTAAAATAAACATAGAAGAAATTTATTGCAGCTATGACCGATTATAATGGTACATGTAAAGTACGGAAGATTTGACCTCACTGTTCCTACAATCTTCACTGCTCTTAATTTACTAGAATTGAGAATGCATACATGTACCTAGCCAGACATTAACACAATTCACTTACTCACCCAGTGCGTTATGTTACTGGGGTGAACGAGAACAGATCTGCCAAAATCACTGTTTAGCTAAAGCAATTAGGCAGGTGGTTATGTAAAACAGATTCAAATAGTAGCTTATCTTTTGAGCAGTATAGCGTACTATGATTACTGAGTATCTATAATGAATAGGTTGAATCAATCAACTGCTAGGGGGCACACATTCAGAACCAATAATGCTCCAAATCCTACAGGAATAAGTACTACAAATTTATAGAATAAGCTTGCAGGAAATAACAGGAGTACATTATCGGTACTGTTTGTTATTGGTAGTGGATAGGGATTACAATTGTGATGAAGATCATTAGTTATCACAATATCTGTCTATACATAATTAATTCTGTCTAGACATCATATAGCAACACAAATCGTAACAAATGCAATCCATGATTTTATCATCCGATTAGAAAGGCAAACCACAATTCAAGAATTTGAGTAAAACAGGAAGATTATACAGCACAGATTCAACTCTTTTCCACTGATAACAGTTATCTTTCAAAAATTAATGCTGTACTAGTTAAAAATGTTTTATTTTCTACTAAACTTTAGTCACAATATCAACATCAAATTATGTTACTTATCCAATACAAAAATTGACAAGACAAAAAATGACATTGCATATTTTCAATAATTTGCACAACACATATTATATTAAATCATTACATAAATAACATGCTCAGACGAAAACGCATATACAAACCAGACTAGCTACAGGTTGTATTTAAGATTTATTATAGGTGATCTTAATTATTTGATTGAAAAATCAACAATGTACATTGTATACACTACAATTTTGTATTTGCTATATTAGAAACATATCTTTAACAGACTATCTCGCATAAATCAAATATTGAGTGAGCAGAGATGTTCAAATAATAGCTTTTTAGGATCTGTCCCCTCAATTATATTGGACTGCAAAGAAGGAATTATGTCAAGTACTTTTGCATCTATTCCTTGAACCATATTTTAACATTTTGTAGAATAGTTATTTCCTTTACAATTTCAATTAGTAATTTTCAAGTATGAGACTTGAATGTTGGTGACCTCAGGATACCAAGCTCTGAAATCAGATATTGCAATAGTCCCAAGTATCTGATTATTGAGTTGCATCTCAATTGGGTGACTGTATATTACATGTAGGATAGCAGTGAAACAACAATTTATAATATGAATTTCAAGCCTAATCATGTAATTTTTCCTATTTTCAAGTTTCACCTGAATTAAATGACTGGTTCTAAAATACTTTTACGACATGTTAATTTCCTTTAATGCAAGATTCAGAAAACAAGTAAATTCTTATAATTAATATAATGAATGGAAATTCAGCGATATTAACGTGTCAAATCATACAGCAAGCCTAAATGTATCTATTTCAATGTGTTTCATGCCAACAATTTAAAAAAGAAATAAAAAATTGGTTCACAAAAATCAAGACATGACATGCATTTTTGTTCATTGAAAATATTTTTTTCTTTTCAGTTTTTACAAATGATTCGCATCTTTCAAATTAATATGCATGATAACCCAAAACAAAATTAATGTTCAGTATTCCAGTAGAATAAGATTTGTGCACAGTAATAGAGCAGCAATATGATATAAGCCTTGGCTTTGTGCTCTCAACAGTATTATTTATCTTAAATCTGTGTGGACTTAACTGCAAATATTTGATACTTATTATCAACATGTCTGACACACAAGAAAAAGAAAAAGACTGCATTTTATGATTACCAAGAGTACAGGCAGTATTATTAAGTAGAGAATGTTGATATCTATGTGTATTATTTGCCCTACACAGGAAGAATCTAGAATTCAACCAAGTGATTAGCAACATGATAGTACATTAGCCACTAAACACTATCAAATTATCAACGCAGTGAGAAATTTAAGAAAATAAGACCTGCTTAAACGATGATGAACTAATCTGTGTCGAGTTTGTTTCCAAATTGAAATTGATCTTGTTTCATTTCCTGTATCTACAACAACATGTAGCAAGGAGTCAATTATGACAGTCAGGTCATAATTAGAGCAATTTAGACTTTGGTTCATTCATTTCACAGGTATCTGAATATCATTAATGTGTATCCTTTCATCTTTTTTTCATGTATTCAAGTAACTATAGCAACGCTATATTACTGGTAGATCTTGTTAGCAGCACTAGATAACAAGAGTTTGATGTTGATTACCGGTATATTCATACTATACTTTCTCAGTTAGAACAGCTTAATAATATCGTATTAGAAGCCCAACTCCAATTGAAGTGCATATAAACCCAAAATTGCATTTGCTGTAAACTGAAGGAATCAACAATAACAAACATTTTTTATTACTATGTCAGGATACAGAAAGTACTATTAAAATACGGCACTCACTCACTGTTATCTAAATGACAATTATGTTACATATTGCTATCCTACTTGAAACTGTCAACAAGACTTAATCCCAAGGGGTAATGTAGATGGATGAACAATTAAATAACAAATGCTTTACCTTCGTGAAAAGAACATTATTCAAGATAAAGTTGGTAAAAAGCGGTTCATCTTAAAAATCCATCCATTCTGCAATCTCCATCATGGTCCAATTAAAGCATAACAAAAAACATCAAGTATCGGTGATTGATTTTTGTGTCACTTATTTCAAATGAATAATTTTACGAATTGATTATCTATGGCGGGTACTAAAGCATGATAGCCACTCAAATTGGACTATAACATGCAAACAAGGTCATTGTGTAACATCTGACCTACAACCTACTAAATTTCATATGAATTCACTCATTCAGAACAGATGATATAATATTTTTAAATGTCAACCTTAGTCTGAAGATGAGATTACCATAATAATATCTATTATTCGCCCACTTTATTATACATTTAATAAAACTAATTGGTACATCATATCTCAATAACAAACTCATGAAACCCTAGACAATTAATGCCCTAAGAAACAAAAAGAAATATTGAGAAGAGAGCTGAAAAAAAAGACAAGAACTCTTTTTCAAAATAGTAAAAGTGTCATTGCAGTATGACTCTCAGCCTTGCAGTAGAATAGATATATTTACGAAGGAACTATGCCAAACTAACATCTTTATACCCCCCCCCCCCCCCCGGAGGAATATGTTTTAATCTTCTTATCAACACCAACAATCTAGTTCATTTCAAAATCAGATGCAGAAGCAATTCATGCAGGAGATCTTTAATGTATCAGTAATTCTTTCATCAAACACAATAGTGTGCAAAATCAAAACAATTTAAAAGAAGTAATTGCATTATATAGTCCCTTTGAGTTCTAAAGTTTAATAAATATATAAAGTTTGAACATGAACAGTCAGAGAATGTCAGAGATATGGCTCCAAAACTGCATTCACTAAATTAAAAACAAAATTGCCACCAGTCAGCCATTTTGCGTCTCATCTGATAAACAATGTGACATGCTATAAGGTCCCATAAAGTTCAATGTACATATCAAGTTTTAACAAAATTTGTCTAAGCATGACCAAGATCTAGACCCGAAATTGCAGAAATGCTTGATTTAACATTAAACCTTACATTAAAGCTTAACATTAAAACAACTGCAATTCAACTATCTTGTATCTGAATAAATATGCATATGTGCAACGTGGTGTATACATAAAGTTTGAACATGATATGTCAGGACATATATACGGAGATATAAATTGTACATGTAACTCCTGAAATTCAGTTTCGGAATGGCCACCATTCAGCTTGAATTGAATTGTCCAGTGAATAGATGTGCATATGTGTGACATGATGTATATATATATTAAAGTTTAAACATAATCAGTCAATGCATGTCAGAGATGGGGCTCTGGAACAGCACTTGTTAAAACAAAATGACCACCAGTTGGCCATTTTGAATCTGATCTGAGAAACAAAATGATGTGCATTAAGGTCCCATAATGTCCGATGTTTGTAATAAGTTTGAAAAAATCCATTCATACGTGATGGCCGAGATCTGACTTCAGAATAGCAGAAATGCTTGATATTGATGAATTTTCAACATTAAAATAAAGCCTTTCAGCCATCTTGAATGTGATCATGATATCAATGGACATGCATACATGTATGTCGCTATAACATAACATAAAGTCCCCATTTAGTCACCATTAGGACTAAAAAAATGTTTATGGTCAATCCCTATTTCATCATCA